TTTTTGCTGAATAATAACAAAGTGGAACTTGCTTAGCAGAGATAGCGGTGAGGCCGACAGCCCTAAGCAGGCTCTGGTGGATCACAAGAGTCGGCTGAGAGACTCCTACAGCCATCAGTGGGCTGTAAAAATCCTCACAGCGGCTCTGGTTAAAAGCTGGTGCTTTGCTGTGAGCGACTACTAGAAATGATTGACGGTGTGTGTGTGTTAACATACTAAAGGAAGGTGATTTCTGAAGATGGATAATGCTTCCATTCGGCATGGCTGGCTACAAAGGGAGAAAGGAAACAGAAGAGGGGAGGGGGAAGGGAGAGAGAGAGAGACCCTCAGCCATAGGAGAAGAATAGGAGTGACACATAACCCCTTACTTTCTTTCCGAATACTGCAATATGACAGAAAGCAGAAAAGCCTTTAGAAAACGTGACTTGATCCAACTTGTTACTGGCAGCTTCGGTAAAAACAGTACCTGTTCAGAGCACGAGGTTGGATCCTATTGAGGATTGCAGCAGCAGAATGGGGGGGGGGGGATTTTTGCCAGTTCCCCCACACACATACACATTGTAGGCCTCCAGTCCTCCAATAATCTTATCTGGAAGTGACCATTGCATGGGTCACTGTAGCCAGATCCCAGGGAGTGAGATATGGGGCCAACTGCCTGATCTGTTTCAGATGGAAAGAAAGCAGACCTGGTAGTGGCAGCGACCTGGGCCTCCATAGTTAGTGAGGCATCCAGGAGCACCCCCAGGCTCTTCACCTTCGGCACTGGCACCAATAGGGCCCCGCCGAAGGTTGGGAGCCCGATCCCTGATCCCAATCCCCCGCGACCCAGGTACAGGACCTCCATCTTCGATGGATTCAGTTTCAGTCTGCTCTTCTGTAACCAACCAGCCATGGCGTGTAACGCCCTGTACAGATTTTCTGGGGCTGAGTCCAGGTGGCCATCCATCAATAGATAGAGCTGGGTGTCAACCCAGCCCATACCTCCAGATAATCTGGGTTAGGGGACGCATGTAGATATTAAACAACATTGGGGAGAGAATCGACCCCCGTGGCACACCACATTCTAGCAGGTGTTGCTGAGATAATTTCCCCCCAAGTGACACCCGCTGTCCCCGTCCTTGGAGAAAGGAGGTCAGCCACTGCAGAGCAAGCCTCCTTATCCCCACATCGGCAAGGCGGTGGGTCAACAGATCAAAGTCAACCATATCAAATGCTGCCGACAGATTAAGAAGTATCAGCAGCACCGATCCACCTCAATCCAGGTGTCCCCGAAGGTCATCCACTAAGGCAACCAGCACCGTCTCCGTCCCATGGGCAAGGGCAAAAACCAGACTGGAAGGGATCCAGGATATTAGTATCCTCCAGGAAAACCTGGAGCTGTGTTGCCACTGCCTTCTCCCCTACCTTACCCAGGAACGGTAGATTAGACACTGGGCAGTAGTTTGTAAGAACCACAGGGTCCAAGGGAGGGTTTTTAGGAGGGGGCAGACTGCAGCCTCCTTCAATCCCTCTGGGAAGGTTCCTGTCGATAGGGACAGATTGATCATCTCCCTCAGAGGAGTCCGCACCTCATCGCCACAGGCTTTCACCAGCCACGACGGGCAAGGATCAAGGAGACATGTAGCGGGCTTCTCAGCAGCCAGGATCCTGTCAACTCCTTCCTAGGTGAGCAGACGGAAATAATCCAGCACTGGACCTGAAGACGGCCAAGGGGGGCTTCCAGTTCCCTTATTGTATCACATGTAGCTGGAAGATCACGGCAGAGTGGCAAGACTTTTATCGGCAAAATGACTCGCAAATGCCTCACAGCCTATCGCCAATTCTCTAGCATTTGGAATGCCCTGAGGCAATGCAGTTAGAGACCAAATTATTCTAAATAACTGGGCTGGGCGCAAGCTTGCAGACGCAATGGAGGTCGCACAGAAATTCTTCTTAGTGGTCTTCCCTGCCGTCTCATGGGTCTTCATAAATGACCTAAAGGATGTTCTTGCGGCTTCATTGAGGGCTTGTCGCCACTTTCTCTCTAGCCGTCATAGCTCCCGTTTCATCCGTCTTAGCTACAGGGAATATCACGGTGGTACCAATTTGGTGCGAGGGAAAAGAGGGTGCCGGGGAGCAACCTCATCGATGGCGTTGGAAAGACAGTCCTGCCAGTCTTTTACTAGCTCTTCCAATGGGCCACCAGGGGGAATCGGATCCCGCAGAGCTTCCTGGAACCTACCTGGGTCCATTAGACTCCACGGGGCGAGCATAAATTAGTTGTTTCCAATGGGAATAAAATTATTTTCAACCACTAGGAGCCTTCCAAACTAACAGTTTATTGTGGTGCCTTGCTCTCTTGTCCTGTTTCCCCCAGGAGAGGGAGGTGGGAGAGGCAAACATAGCAAGGGGGGGGAGGAAGAATGACTCAGCATCAACAGATCAATGATTTCAAAAGTGTATCTGCCCCTTCTCTACACGCCTACTCTAGAGGCCTTCCGTCTTATCTTCATGATAATGGGCACTCTGCTAGCAATGAATTACGCTTGAACACACAGTAAATAAAACAAAAATGAACCAGAGCCAACAGAGAATAAAACCAGGGAGTCCCGCAGTCCAGGCACAGCCTAAGTAGGTCAATTTGGGCACTCTGCGAGCGGTAACCTGGCAACCTGTTTTCAGGCAAGAGGGCCACACTGATGGCCAGACGGCAGGAGAATAAGGCAACACTTCTACTTGCAGGCTGAATGATGAGAAACTCACCAGTACTTCAGAAGAGACGCTCATTAACGGGTTAGAAAAAATACCCATCCAATGGTGGGGATGGACACAGGAGTGCGGTTGAAAGGACAAGACTATCGGGGGGGGGGGGGGGGGGAAGGAGCCGGCATCATGTGCCTTTCTTTCCACGGAAATGTGCTTCTTCCCACTCTTCAAGTCTTGGGACCCTCCTTCTGCTTCCCAAAGATTTGCACTCCTATTCAGTTGTGTTTCCATTTGGTAGTTGAGCTGGTTACGGCTTCCCTCCCTTTGCCCACGTTCAGTCTTGAGAAGACTTCCTACTTGATAAGCAAGGCCGTCTTTGCCCCCTTTCCTTGGTAAGTTGGTTGCTAGCATGAAAATAGGCCGGAGGTGAGGGAGGAGATTGGTATACTATTGCAAGAGAGCCGATAGCTCCCTAAAACAGGAGGAAGCAATGATGGTTCCTATAGGAGAGGGTCATTGGGGAGCTTTGTCCCAAGCAGGGCCGGCCCGAGGTTTTGCTGCACACTAGGTGGGGCTACCTTCTGGTGCCCCCTGCATGTTGCCAACCTCCAGGCGGGACCTGGAGAGAACTTAGTCCAACTTCTCTCCCCCTTTGGAGGCTCCAAAGTTGCCTCAGCTCTGCCCAGCGGCAAGGAGGGTCCCCTGGTCAAGAGGGGACCCGTGGGGCGGGGATGGTGGCGCCAGGGCTCCCCCCTCCCCCAACTTACCCGGCAAACTTGGACGTTTGGGCTGGGGGAAGAGCAAAGAGCTCAGGGACGCCAATGCCGCGCAGCCTGCTGCTCCTCCGGCCGAGTCTCTTCCCTCTCCCCCCCACCTTTGCTCTCTGTGTGCGTGCGTGCATATGTGTGGTTGCAGGGGGCGGGGGGAGCGAAGGGGCGGGCAGGGAGTGTGTGTGTGTTTGGGGGCAGGAGGGAGAGAGAGAGGCCACAACTTTAATGCCAACTAGCTCACAAAGTAGAGTTTTTGCTCACAAGACTCCACAGGCAGCTTTAAGGGAGGAACTCTGACCACCAGCCCCTCGAAGGGGCGGGCGGGGGAGGGAAAAAACCCCAGCTGCTCTCCATCCCCCCCCCCTGTGTGCCTCCTCCACCCTGGCCAGGCGCAGAGAGAGAGCGAGAGGGGTGGGCGGGCAGAGACCCTCGATCCCCACTGCCTTTTCTCTCTCGCCGGGAGGGGGGGCTCAGCTGCTGCGGGGCCCTGCTCCCCTCCCCGGCCCCTTCCCATGGCGGCGGGCGGCGGCGATAGCCCGCTGGCCACCGCCATGCCGCCTCTGCCTCCTCCCCCCTGAGGGGGGAGGGCAGACGAGCTGCGGCGCCGCCTCCTCCACCCCGGCCGGGCACAGAGAGAGAGCGAGAGGGGCAGGCGGGCAGAGACCCTCAATCCCTGCCGCCTTTTCTCTCTCGCTGGGAGGGGGAGCTCAGCTGCCGCGGAGCCCTGCTCCCCTTCTCGGCCCCTTCCCATGATGGTGGCGATCACCTGCTGGCCACCGCCATGCTGCCTCTGCGTCCTCCCCCCTGAGGGGGGAGGGGGGAGGGAGGGCAAGCTACGGCGCCGCCTCCTCCACCCCGGCCAGGCGCAGAGAGAGAGCGAGAGGGGCTGGCAGGCAGAGACCCTTGATCCCCGCCGCCTTTTCTCTCTCGCCGGTTGGGGGGGGGCGCAGTTTGGCACCCCTGAGGGCCAACGCGCCCTAGGCGAGCAGCTAGTTCGCCTAGCGGGCGAGCCGGCCCCGGTCCCAAGTGCAAAGGATTGGTTCCCCAAACTATTATTTACTTCTCTGTTCACCTTTCAAGCAATACTGCTCCCACCTGTGCTGGCAAAGTAGTTGAGGAGGAAAAGGCAGATGGGCTAATAAGTGCAGCTGCAGAGATATGAGACCACCTTTATAAAAGCTCGTAGTTCAGTTCTTTACTGTTACAGTCATCTGACCAAACATAATACAAGCTAATAAATTCTAACAGTGACAAAGAGCCCCTGCTGCAAGCGAGCACATATAGCACATGACGGGCTCCCTAGGAGAAAGAAGCCACCCTCATTGTAAAACGTGAGCCAGCTCTCACTGTGATTCACCCATAAGTGTCACGGCCCTCTCAGAGCTTCCCATTTTTGAGGATTCTCTGGGCTCTTTCAGAGGTTTGTGGACTCTAGCGAGCCAAAGTCACAACCCCACAAAAGCGCATAATGAACGACGAGCCAGCACAAGGCGCATGGACCTTGAGCACAGCAAAACAAAGCAGAGCTTGATAGTCTGTGCATACCTTCCTGAACTGTCAACACTCCGGGGACTCTCTGCAGGCTGGACACAAGGGTGTTCTCCGGAAGGAGGTGATAGATGGTTTCCAGGAGTGGGTGTGGCTGCAAGGCACACTGAAGGCGGCTGCTGTCCATCACAGTCAGGTACATGTTCTCTAAAGACAGGGGAAGGCACCATATAAATGCAGAGACAGAGACAGACAGGGGAAAACTCCTGGAGGCTTTTTAGTAGTTGGGCAAAAGATGTCATTTGGGCAGGTTACAGCCCTGCATGTTAAGCTACCCTTTGCCAAAGGCGTCTTGCCCGCCCACCCTTTTAAAGGTACCTACAACCATTTCCGTATTGAAAAGAAAATTAAGATGAAGTCATTGTAAAGCAATAGAACTCTCAAGGCAGGAGACGAAGAGAGGTGGTTTGCCATTGCTTGCCTCTTCGTAGCAACCCCAGACTTTCTTGATGGTCTCTCATCCAAGTACTAACCATGGCTGACCCTGCTTAGTTTATGAGAATTGACGAGATTGGGCTAGCCTGGGCTGTCCAGGTCAGGGCACTCTCTGCTTTGGCAGGACACAAGGGGAGAGCGGTTCCTCAAGAGAGAGTGGCAGGAAAGCCCAGTGCAGCACTTCTAAATAAGTAATGGCATCCCACTTTGCTCTGGTGTATTGATTGGGCCTGGCCCTCGAAGTGGGACTCATGATTTATGAAATATTCAAGAGTGGAAAGTGCGGCCTTGCAAAAAAAACTGCCTGGAAGGACCCTTGTCCCTCCCGGACAGGCCTGGCTCTTCTCTTGGCACTGCGTGGAGGGATGGTTCAGAAAAGGGTCGTCCATAAGGGAAGAAATTGAGCAGAGATCAATAGGAAAACGGAGAGTACGTTTTGTTTTAAAATCTGGTTGCACCCCAAGATTTGGATCACTGTTCCTCAATACCTTGGATTTTTTAAAAAAAATCCGAATTTAAATTTCATGTGCAGACCGGAGGAGGTTTACTTTTTGAATGTGTAATAGTAAGTCTATGCATGATTCACAACAGAGTCCTAAGCAGACTGATACCCTGTAAATCCATTGAAGACCACGAGCTTAGAAAGGTGTGATTCCACTTAAGACAGCACTGTCAATGTTCTGGGCATGCTTCCTGATTGGAAATAGGCATGTCTAGAACAGAGACTCCTGCAGTGATGCAAAGGGCAGGCTGCCTGAGAGTGGATAATACTCTCTCTCACTAGATAGATAGATAGATAGATAGATAGATAGATAGATAGATAGATAGATAGATAGATAGATAGATAGATGATAGATAGATGATAGATAGATGATAGATAGATGATAGATAAATAGATACACACACACACATCACACAGCATTTCAGTCACATCTGATGCAGGGACAGGGAAGAATGAAACATCCTTAGAAGAAGGCAGCTTATTTCTCTTCCCAGAACCACAGGCAGGCTCTTTTGTGGCATGGGTACTTGGGACTAACTGAAGCCTTTCATTCTTTAATTTATTTCTTAAGGCATGTTAGTGGGATCCAGGGCTCTTTTTGTAGAAAAAGCCCAGCAGGAGCTTATTAGCATAATAGGCCACACCCAACAGCAAAACTCATTAGCATTATAGGCCACACCCCTGACAGCACAGCTCATTGGCATATTAGGCCACTCCCCCATGTTACCAGAAGTGTGCTCATCCAGCCACACCCACCTTTTGCTTGTTATTCTGTTTACCTTGTTTGTTGTCAAAACCCAGGGCTTTTTTTGGAGCAGGAACTCCTTTGCATGTTAGGCCACACACCCCTAATGTAGCCAATCCTAATGAGTTTCTGCTGTTGGGTGTGGCCTATGATGCTAATGAGTTCCTGCTGGGCATGGCCAACTCAGGAGCCAGTCGGAACTCCGTTCCTGTGCGTTCCTGCCCAAAAATAGCCCTGTCTATCTAGCACATATTTGAGGAATCAATTATTTGAATACTGGACGGGACAAGTGACAGACTCAAAGAGCCTGCCCCTCTTCCTGTTCCATCTCCTGGCCTTGCAGTTTCTCTTAAAGTCCCTTCCTTTCTCCTCTTTCCCCCTTTTGTGGTTTGCACGTGGCTACAGCAAAACAAATCTAATGTACAATAAAGGACAAAGGCTCTTTTGTGACTTACTCTCTACTGGCTCCTGGAAAAGCGGGTGCAACAGGGCTCGGGGAGTCCCGTGATACAGACTGAGCCTAAGGAGAAAAGGGGCAGATTGTGACATGGGAGATATTTCTCGAGTGTAGAAAGTTAGTATTTAAAACAACAACAACAACAAATACTTCTAAGGCTTTGTGTAGTGGTCACAAGAGTTGATAGTGTGATGAATCTCTTGAATCTGCCTAAGTTCTCTTGCCTCCTACTTACTTCCACTATTATTCTGTGTTTCCGCTGTGTCGGACACAGACTAGAAATTTCCACAGGTGCCAGGATTTCCACTCATGGAGCATGATTTTCCAGCCTCCTACAGCAGTCCAAAATGCCTTTCAGATCCTCTTCTTTGAAGAGAGGGGACCCGCAAGAACAAGATTTCGGGATGGGGGGTGTTGCATGCATGAGAAGGGAGCAGATGGGGAGATTGTGCTCCCTGAGCAGAAATCCTTGTGGCTGCAGAAACATTACGACAGAATAGAGCTTTCCTGACTCTTGCCACCCACCACAGCCCACAGATCCCATAAAATGCTGCTCCTGTTGGATAGGGGACTCTGAGGAATGGAATGAGAGGGGTTTGGAGGAGGAAGGAGAAATGGAGGGAAATTGCCAGTTTCATCTGGATCCAACCCCTTATCTGTATTATTGTCCCATTTACACGATCCACAGACTCTACAGGAGCACCTTCACCCACGTATTCCATGGTGTATGGGATTTCCAGTCTTCCAGGAAGTCAATGCCTTCAGAGATATGGCAATCAAGAGCAGGACCTTTATTGTGGTGGCACCCTCTTTACAGAGTGTCCTTTCTGTGCATCCTCACATAGTTCTTTTAGGAGGACAGGGCTTTCTGTTTAAGAAGCCATTTGGCTGACTGCTGCTGCAATCCTTAAGATGGTTTTCCTGTGAACAAGCCCCACTGAATAAAATGGGACATACATCTGAGTAGACCTGCTTAGGCAATGTCTCTCTGGGTTATTACCAATGCCATGATGTGGGTTTTGTAGTGGGATTGGGAAGGGGAGATTTTTTAATTTATTTTTTCTTATTTCATATATTTTCTATGTTTTAAGCCATATTGTTGTCTTAAGGTCCATGAGAGCCTTTTAGATGAGCAGACAAGGTAAACATAAACATTTCAGTGTACCATTTCAGGCTGCAAGTGGGGTTCAGTGAGCGAAGGAGAGGCTGCATGTTTCAATACTCCATTTAAACTCCTTGCATATAGGGGACAATCGCATCAGGGAGAAGGCTAGAATGAATATTTCCCAGTTCTCATTATCATTTATGTTGTTCGCTGATAACAGTCCCTGCAAAGAGTATTCATCAAGTGGCGAATCGGAGCTGAACATGAGTTCAAATACCGGTGATCTGTTCTCTTTTGATCTGGGATTATAGTAATAGCAGGATTATTTCTGGTAGGCGGAGTTTGCATTTCAGTGGAGAAATGCAATGAGCTATGGAAGACCCACGGCAGTGTACAAGGCTATGCATGAAATGATCAAGATGGGTAGCCATGTTAGTCTGTCTGTAGCAGCAGAGTCCAGTAGCACCTTAAAGACTGGCAAAATTTGTGGTGAGCAGTGACTTGTGAGAGCTCATACCCTACCACACAGTTTGTTAGTCTTTAAGGTGCTACTTAAAGCTGCGATGGTTCAAGTGGTTAAGACGCTGAACTGCAGGCTGTGAAAGGTCAGTAGTTCAGCAGTTTGAGACCCAGGTTGCCGCATGACAGAGTGAGCTCCCGTCTCTAGTTCCAGCTCCTGCCAACCTAGCAGTTCAAAAGCAAGAAATTGCAAGTAGATAAATAGGTACCACTTCAGTGGGAAGGTAACAGCGTTCCGTGCGCCTTGGTGTTTAGTCATGCCGGCCACATGACCACGGAAACATCTTCGGACAGCGCTGGCTCTTCAGCGTTGAAACAGAGATGAGCACCACAACCCTAGAGTCGGACTCGACTGGCTTTCGAGCAAGGGAACCTTTACCTTTAAGGTGCTACTGGACTCTTAAGCTTTTCTATTCTGACTGGCAATGCTCTCCAAGGCAAGGGTCTTTTCCAAGTGCTATTTTCTCAGACCCTTGTGAGAAGAAATGCCAAGGACTGAACCAGAGACCTCCTGCATGCAGAGCATGGACTGAGCCACTGAGCTATGGGCCCTCACCCAAAGAAGACTATGGCCAAAATACTCTCAAACAACTCTTTATTGTCTCCAACACCACGGCTGAACCACCTGTGGACTGCATGAACGTCTCCCCAAGACTCAGTCATACCCCCAGTGATCCCAAAAGAGGAAGATACCCTTTTTCCTTCAAGCCCAGATTTGTCGGCTCAGACTTGCTGTTAAATAAACGCAGGATTCCAAAGCCACACGACAGATCCTGGTGGGTCCCGTCCTGTCTCCTGACGGAAGCCACAACTTCTATGACGAGGATGATGCTGGGATGATCCAAAGATGTGTGGAAATAGACAGTCTGAAGACGACAAGAGGGGAGAATGGAATGTGAACTTGAGTTTTTGTCTACATGGCAGTGTGGGATTTGCTTCCGACAGCGGTATTCAACACTGTGTTCGAAAATACCCGGAAGTTCCTGAATGAGACAGTCGTGACTGGAGGATACGGAAAGATAGCTCTTCCACCAGTACCAACCCTATCCTACAATGCATGGGCACAGGGGGATCACTGGGCATGATTTACGTACATTCTTTTTTCAGTGGGCACTCTAGGAACTACATGCACACCCTATGGTATGCCCAGAGACTCTCAGCTGTGCAATAGTAGCCTTCAAGCAGACATGGAGGGGTTTCCTCAGGAGATACAGATGAGAAAAGTGTTCCCTCTAGGACAAAGTTTAAAACACACCGGACTTGAGAGTTCCACAACAGCCTGTTATCCTGTCTTGGTGGGTTGGATGGATCCCTTGTCCCTCTTCTTTCTGAGATCCTTACTGAGACCTGAAAACTGCTAGGATATCCTTCCATTCTTCTGCTGACTTAACAGGATTCCAGGCTACGGGGAATGTGCCTTTGGCCAGTGACACTCAATCTCTTCAGCGAGCATGGAAGGGTAGGAAGTTACGGGAAGGATGAGGCAGAGTGCTATCGTGCAGAGGCCAATTCATTCCTGGGCTTAGCGGTGCTTTCACTTCTAATTTGCTGAGCATAGGAGCAGAAAGGATTAGACTCTTGGTATACTAGGTTCCCCCTTTCCTGTCCGGAAATGCCACAAACTTCCCAGTAGGAAGTGTCCTTCAAGTGGCAAGAAACAAAGCAAAGCCAACTGAAGTCCCTTCCCAGCGTGACATAAGACTAAGACAAAACCAGAATCTGTTGTCACCTCCATCACTCGACTTAATATCATTTTACTGGTTTAACCTCTGGTTGATCTTACCTCTCAGGTACATATCAGGGCTTCAGTTATCTGAAGCCAGCAACACCCATCCCCTGCAGATGACCCTGAAACTGGAATCCATTCAACGGGTAACAAGCTTACATTACACAGCATCTCATATGAAAGGAACGAAATAGAAGTCCAAATCTCATCATAAGATTGCAGTTTTTGAACATTCTACCTTCAAGGAAACTTTTCCATGTCTGCTGACAAACTCTTGAACATCTGCCACAGTTCCTGGCACCTTCCCTCTGTGGCATCAGTTTTCTTAGCATTCATAAGGTGTGGGAGATTAGCACATACACACACACACACATATAAAAAAACTTGGGGGTTCCAAGAAGAATCTGTACAGCACACAGGTGTGCTACCAGAAGTACCGTACCCATTTCACCGGTTGCAAAGGATGGTTCTTCAGTAAGTGTAAAGACATTTCAAATGTTCTGCTGATTGTCTGTCATTGACTCTGGAGGCTTGAAAGGAGGAACATGGTGGTCTGTCAGCACCCCTGGGATCTGCGCCCTGCTGCATTTTCTGGTGAGCCAATCAGGGTACAAACCAGAAGGTATTGTGGGCTGCGATCTCCTCCCAGGAGCCTCCACTCACCCAAGTAGCCTGTGCATCCCCCCTGATCTGATAAGGGTATAAAAACTTCTGTATTGGATTTGTCCTCAATGGTCACCCCTGACAGTGTTTGCCAGGCTGCTGGTCCTAAATCCCACTCATGCAAAAACATGCTCCACTGTCAGTCTACCCACCACCTCCTAGATTCCCCTCTGGCCTCGGGTGCAGGGCCTCAGGCCTCCTGCTTCCCATCCTGCACATTCTCTGTGGCTTTGCATCATGACATAGTCGGAGGTCACCCATGACTTTGTACAACATTGACCTCTGCAATTAGCATTCAAACTGTGGCCAAACTGGCTCAGGAGCTGCATGCGGCTCTTTCACACATATCGTGTGGCTCCTGGCGGGGTGGCTGGGGAACCTAAATATCATTAGCAAACAAATATCATTGGACAAATAAATATCATTATCAATATCTGCTTTTACCGCTTTTGTTCTTATTTCTGGCAGTCTCACTTAATGTTAATAAAAAGCAAATTTACATATTTCCCAGTAAAAACATGTAATATTTGTTCATGTCTTGCGGCTCTCAAGCAACGTCTGTTCATGTCTTCCGGCTCTCAAACAGCTGACATTTATTTGATGTGGCTCTTACATTAAGCAAGTTTGGTCCCCCCTGCCTTAGACTAAGTCAAACCCTTGGCCTATCAAGGTCAGTATCGTCTACTCTGACTGGCGGCAGCTCCCCAGGGTCTCAGAGGTCTTTCACATCACCTATCGTCTGATTCTTTTAGCTGGAGATGCTGGGGATTGAACTCAGGACCTTCTGAATGCCACCCTAGGCAGTACAAAGTACTAGAAGCCTGGCCCTTCTGTTTTCACCAAGCTTCACGCTCCAGCTAAAGCCTTCCACTCCACTCCAGTTCCTACAATTGAGCTCATGGACCCTGAGCTGAAGAACAGATCCTGCCAATCTGGACTCCACCAGGGCCACCCACGGCCCTGACATTAGCAATAGTAAGCTGTGTGGATGCTGTGCCTGAGAAGGAAAGGGAAGTTAAAAAGAATGGCAAAAATCACATCCTGCCCACTCTTGGTGGGGGAGGGGGATTTGTCCAGGAGTCTCTCTGTGGATCCGGGTGCAATCTCTGGCAGCCCTGTGATTGAGCGGCAGGTTAATCCGTCTATTAAAGAGTCATTACCAAGGTGTCGTGAGCAAAACATTTACCGTAATCACGGACTGTCAGGGAAGGATAACAGAGAGAGGCATTAAAACATCAGCCTGGAGAAATAAATCGTTATTCTATTATCTTTTATTGCAAAATGATGAAAAAAATGGTCAGTAATTCCTGACAGGCAGGCAAAGAAGACAGAGTTATGCTCTGATCCCTGACGCATCGGACTCCCCCTCCGACGTGGGATCCGCTGCACTGCTAAGTTTTATCGCTATCTCTAGAGACGCTAATATTAGTTTTACCAACATACGTCTCTCTCTCCCAGCATCTCTGTTCTATGAGGGCCACTACAGTCTCAGTGCAAGGCCGCTTGGGAAGTATTGTAGTGAGAGCATGAGAGGGGAAAATAAATTAACCATTTCCCCCTGGGTCTGGAATACCTGTTTCTTCCATGAGCGAGCCAAGTGACACCTTGAACAGAGTCAGAGTCAACCTGTTATAGAAAGGAAATGCTGGCAGTGGTGCAACGGTTAGTATGTTGGAGTAGGATCCGGCAGACTCAGGTTCAAACCCCTGTTCAGCCCTGAAACCTACTGGGTGACAGTGGCCTAGCCTGCCTCTCTTTCTCTCTCTCTCTGCCTAGCCTACTTCACAGGGCTGTTATGAAGATAAAATGATGAAAGGAGAACTGCTTGTGCCACTCTGAGCTGTCTGAAGGAACGATGGGATAAAAAATAGAGGAGAGGAGCTACATATAACCAGGGCGCTAGACGTGCCATGATTCCACAGGAACACAGGACCTGGTTTGGGGGGATCAGTTCCCTGAGATTCTCAGTTTTCATCTGAAAAGTAAGCTTCTAGCCCCCACAGCTATGAAGATATGCTTGCAAAGGTGTAGGCAATGGCCAAGAGAAGGGTAGCTCAACAGGATTCTCATTGATTGGGGGGGTCACCCCATGACTTCCCGAAGCAGTTATGCAATACTGTTTCAGTTTGTGTACCTGATGCAGGTCACAGAATTCAACTTTTTTGGCATAGAATTTGAATGACCCAACAGTGTTTTAAAAAAAAAAAAAATACAGAATGCACAAAGGCCTGGATTGATGGATGCCTTGGAAGGGGTTTGCTGTCAACCCAAAGAAATAAAATTATTTGTGTGTGTCAAACAAAGGAAAGCCATCAATTTAGTAATTCAGACAAGTACCTGTGTTTGCCATTAAGAAGGCAGTTGGTTTTAGCATAAACCCACACCTGTGCTCCATTGTGTGAAGCATTTAAAAGTGGCTTTCCTAGAAGGTAAACGAGGGAAATGTAATTATTTGCTGAGGCACCTCTGCAAACCTCTTGGAACAAGTGCTCCCCAATTATCAGGGGGGGGGGGAATAATAATTGGATAATCACTCAGATACGAAGCTATTCATTAGCTGGAAGAGAATGGCCAGGGAGACAAAAAGAGAAAAGCAAACTGATATCAGCAAATTAACCATGCGAGGACCCTGCTTGTGACAGATGAGACAATGTTCTCATGCCCTCTTTTGGAGCAGTTTATCTGGATTTGACAGTTATTCTCTGTGACTGAATAAACAACTTTTCTAAATGTGCTGCATTCCCATCCTTCTATCTAGAATGCACTTGATTAAAAACTTGGGGGAGGGGGGTGTTGTCATTGCTGCTGTGCAGGTGGACAATTTTACTAGCTCCTTTGGATTTCATTCCCAGGCTATTGGATTATGGGATGAAAGGACAAGAGATTAATTTCAGGTACTTCAGATAACCGCAGGATGATATTAACTTCGACACTGTCAGGTCCAGCTCCCGTATGGCCGACAAGGCAAGGGCAGGGGGGACCCAAAGCCAGCAAGCACTCAAAGCAGGGAACAAGCCTGATCCTGGATCTCTTAAAGGGTTAAGGGACCAACACCTAAACTTCTCTGGCCAACTGGGGGTTGCATTCACTGTAGCACGTGTAGGAGGAGCTGTGGCTCAGTGTAAGATCCTCTGCTTTGCATGTAGATGGTCCCAGGTTTAATCCCTAGCATCTCCAGCTAAAAGAACCAGGCAATGGGAGATGTGAAAGACCTCTGCCAGAGACCCTTCAGAGGCACTGCTGGTCTGATCAGACAATACTGACCTTTACGGACCAACTGTCTGATTCACTACAAGGCAGCTCCATGTGTGTTCATGTTTGGCTTGAAATCTCCCGTTCCACAGCATTTTGTCGAGGCGCCCACTACCCTTTCTCAAGTTGAAGAAGCTCCAGCTGGGGAATGCTCAACTAGATTGGGGACCCCTGCTCTAGTGGTGCCCTCATGGCTGGATGTGCCCATACTACATGTCAGATGAG